TTCATCATCCAACATATTCATGTTGGATGTGAACGCGGTCCTTGGACGGACTACGAAGTGCTACCAGGTGTAACGGGGCACCCTGAAGCTTGTACTGGTGACAGTACAAGCTGCTTATTCTGATGACAGAATAAGGCGGTGCCTCGGAACTTCACGTACACTCGTACGTGCAGAGGAAGACGGTAAGAAGAAGCGAGTACTTGGTTAAAGTAAAAAGTAGAACTGTATTTATAATAGTTAATGTCTGCAATAAATCACTATTTATCTTCATCTAACTATGTCTAAATACAAATGTGTAAATCAACTATCTGCTCACCACTCATTGCGTGCGTCTGTCGTGGCGCGTCTTCGTTGGTTGATATAATGGCCTATATCAACCAATTAGGAACTACTCGTAAGTGCTACAGAATATTTGTCCTTATGACAATATTCTGAGATTACAACTCTTATAGTTATATTCTGATAACAATTTCTTATAAATTGTTATGTAACGATTCACCCCGTTACAAGAAGGGTGCTCCGCACCTACTGATCCTGTCCGTTTTTTTTTACGGTCCATCCCGTTGTTGCGTCTTTGCACCAACAGCGGACCCGCATTCCTGCCCCTTTCTCATGGGTGGACGGTCACTACGCCCAGTGTTGCGAGACACTGGACGAGGGGCACTACACTCGTAAGCGTAGTGTCCTGTCTTTTGACATCTGTTGCATTTCTGCAACTTCTTGTAGTCTGTAGAGCGAGCCTTCTCGCTCTCTACATAACAGAGTTCCATCGGCTCTGGACCTCCGTTGTCATATCGTCTCGGTTGACGATATGATGTCGAGTTGGCGCGAGCCTGTCTCAGACTGAAGTCTTCCTGTTCCGCAATGGAAATGGCTTGTTCTAGTGAATCTAGTTCAAGTCAAAACAGGTGAGTCTTGACGGGACCATCCGCAAGACCCTGCATGAACACCGAAACCAACGTGTGTTCATCAACCGGGTTGGAACTTATACAACTCGTAAGATGTCGTATATGTTGCGCGTAAGCGTGCACACCACGCTTACCTTGCTTGAGCTTCAAGAGTTCAGTTCGAGCTCTGAATTCAGCTCTAGGAGGTTCAAACGTTAGTCTGAGCCGCGACTTGAAGACTTCCAACGACCCAAACGCATATGGTTGTGCAACTTGATCCCCAAAGCCCAAGTCTTGGCACGTCCTGCCAGATTTGATTAGGCAAATGCAACTTGCATATCCCCGTCGTCGATGTGACTCGCCCTTATGGCGTCGTATAACTCGACAAACCATCTCAAGAGGGAGTCCTCTTCGACTCCCCTATACTTGGAAATGTCAATCTTCAAGGTCTCGGGTCGACGCGAGTGCATCGACCCACCAGCAGCAGCCTGCTGCTGTCTCAACAGTTCAAACTGTTGAGCACCCTGTTCTCTCAACAACTCTGCTTGCTGAGAACCTTGTTGGTGAAGCAAGGCTACTTTCTCGCGTTCTGCGTCAAGTTCATTTTGAATGAACTTGGAGATAGTAGCATGTTAGGCATCTCTATTGAGAGCCTCTAGCATGACGCTAACAGGATGGATGCCCATGGTTGAACCCATCCGTTCAACCGCATCCCATTCGACATCGCTCAAATGGGAGTAGCCGTCACGCGTAGCGTGAAAGCTTTGATCATCTTCATCATCCAACATATTCATGTTGGATGTGAACGCGGTCCTTGGACGGACTACGAAGTGCTACCAGGTGTAACGGGGCACCCTGAAGCTTGTACTGGTGACAGTACAAGCTGCTTATTCTGATGACAGAATAAGGCGGTGCCTCGGAACTTCACGTACACTCGTACGTGCAGAGGAAGACGGTAAGAAGAAGCGAGTACTTGGTTAAAGTAAAAGTAGAACTGTATTTATAATAGTTAATGTCTGCAATAAATCACTATTTATCTTCATCTAACTATGTCTAAATACAAATGTGTAAATCAACTATCTGCTCACCACTCATTGCGTGCGTCTGTCGTGGCGCGTCTTCGTTGGTTGATAAAATGGCCTATATCAACCAATTAGGAACTACTCGTAAGTGCTGCAGAATATTTGTCCTTATGACAATATTCTGAGATTACAACTCTTATAGTTATATTCTGATAACAATTTCTTATAAATTGTTATGTAACGATTCACCCCGTTACAAGAAGGGTGCTCCGCACCTACTGATCCTGTCCGTTTTTTTACGGTCCATCCCGTTGTTGCGTCTTTGCACCAACAGCGGACCCGCATTCCTGCCCCTTTCTCATGGGTGGACGGTCACTACGCCCAGTGTTGCGAGACACTGGACGAGGGGCACTACACTCGTAAGCGTAGTGTCCTGTCTTTTGACATCTGTTGCATTTCTGCAACTTCTTGTAGTCTGTAGAGCGAGCCTTCTCGCTCTCTACATAACAGAGTTCCATCGGCTCTGGACCTCCGTTGTCATATCGTCTCGGTTGACGATATGATGTCGAGTTGGCGCGAGCCTGTCTCAGACTGAAGTCTTCCTGTTCCGCAATGGAAATGGCTTGTTCTAGTGAATCTAGTTCAAGTCAAAACAGGTGAGTCTTGACGGGACCATCCGCAAGACCCTGCATGAACACCGAAACCAACGTGTGTTCATCAACCGGGTTGGAGCTTATACAACTCGTAAGATGTCGTATATGTTGCGCGTAAGCGTGCACACCACGCTTACCTTGCTTGAGCTTCAAGAGTTCAGTTCGAGCTCTGAATTCAGCTCTAGGAGGTTCAAACGTTAGTCTGAGCCGCGACTTGAAGACTTCCAACGACCCAAACGCATATGGTTGTGCAACTTGATCCCCAAAGCCCAAGTCTTGGCACGTCCTGCCAGATTTGATTAGGCAAATGCAACTTGCATATCCCCGTCGTCGATGTGACTCGCCCTTATGGCGTCGTATAACTCGACAAACCATCTCAAGAGGGAGTCCTCTTCGACTCCCCTATACTTGGAAATGTCAATCTTCAAGGTCTCGGGTCGACGCGAGTGCATCGACCCACCAGCAGCAGCCTGCTGCTGTCTCAACAGTTCAAACTGTTGAGCACCCTGTTCTCTCAACAACTCTGCTTGTTGAGAACCTTGTTGGTGAAGCAAGGCTACTTTCTCGCGTTCTGCGTCAAGTTCATTTTGAATGAACTTGGAGATAGTATCATGTTAGGCATCTCTATTGAGAGCCTCTAGCATGACGCTAACAGGATGGATGCCCATGGTTGAACCCATCCGTTCAACCGCATCCCATTCGACATCGCTCAAATGGGAGTAGCCGTCACGCGTAGCGTGAAAGCTTTGATCATCTTCATCATCCAACATATTCATGTTAGATGTGAACGTGGTCCTTGGACGGACTACGAAGTGCTACCAGGTGTAACGGGGCACTCTGAAGCTTGTACTGGTGACAGTACAAGCTGCTTATTCTGATGACAGAATAAGGCGGTGCCTCGGAACTTCACGTACACTCGTACGTGCAGAGGAAGACGGTAAGAAGAAGCGAGTACTTGGTTAAAGTAAAAAGTAGAACTGTATTTATAATAGTTAATGTCTGCAATAAATCACTATTTATCTTCATCTAACTATGTCTAAATACAAATGTGTAAATCAACTATCTGCTCACCACTCATTGCGTGCGTCTGTCGTGGCGCGTCTTCGTTGGTTGATAAAATGGCCTATATCAACCAATTAGGAACTACTCGTAAGTGCTGCAGAATATTTGTCCTTATGACAATATTCTGAGATTACAACTCTTATAGTTATATTCTGATAACAATTTCTTATAAATTGTTATGTAACGATTCACCCCGTTACGGACCGTCAATAAAACGACCGAAGGCTCAGCATCGTGAGTTACAACACCAGAGGAGAAGAGTAGAAGTCGCATCATGACAAAGATACTGCAGCAAAAAGAGACGAAAAGAGCAAATCAAAGACTGCCCGAGTAACACATGTTTGCATGGAGAATAAAAGACAAATGGAAGCCTAACTCGAACCTCGGTGGGTTGAACACTGCGCCTCGGTGCATTTACAGCTTTTCCCGATTCGTCGCTCAACGTCGTGCTCCTTCGGTAGCTTTTCGAATCGCTCTGTTGACTGGTGAGGTCATCGATTCACTTACAAAAGCATCTCCGCATGTTGTGTTGCAAGTACATTCCTCTTCAGTAATGCACATATTTTCATGAACATCAAGTTCGACTCGCCAGCACGAGTTTTGGGCGCAGAGCTGTGATGCGTCAGCTCTTCCATCGACGTAAGACCAATCGATCAGTTCTCTACTGGAGTATCGCTGAGTCCAATCGGCTCGAAGCTAGCCAAAAGTAATCTGCAGTGAACTTGCCTTCCAGAACAATCCCGACAGCTCAGATCGTGACGCTAGTCTCGAGGGATATCGTAGATCGGACAGTTCGAGGAGTATTGCACTGCGTATTGTACCTCCTAAACAGATCAGCTCACGTATCAAGCACTTTGCTCGAAGAATAAGTGGCAGGCATCAGGAGCAGGGAAGGCTTTTGAAAATGCACATTTGCAGCATTTACACACATTTGCAGGTATTGAAAGTGTATTTTTGAGAAAGAGAGGAATACGGTGGACGCTCGTCCTAATGTCTACATGTTTTGATCATCATTAGGTCATGGTAGATGTGCCAAGTCTGTACAGAACGTTGGTCTGCCGGTGTTGGTGCTGAGAGGTGCTGGATATACGATCCGCAATGTTGCGTGGACGTGTGCCCATAGACATCGATCCTGCTGGACGAAGACGTGTCGAACAACATTTTGTGCGAGGCATCGAACGGTTTTGCATCGAAAAGACGTCGCGTGTTTCGTGTCGAGGGACACAGAGTGCCTTTGTTGCACCCAAAGGAGAGTCGCAGCTCGGACGCGCGGACGGAGGACGCAATCCCGTGCTAGATGTGCACGATGGAACAAGATAATACACGGCTACAGGATGTAGTTGCTGCATCCAATCGCGTTTCCAGTGTCGGTCCCGATGGCGTTACAGACCACAATCCGTTTACTGCTATCGCTGGACCCTACGAAACGTCCGATAGCTCGTGCAATTCTAGCATCGCCGTTCATCGAATCGGGTCCGATCAAGACGCTTCGGATGTTGCAGAGTTTGGTCGGGTTTGAGCCGGTGGTTCAAGCAAAATTTCTGACAACGCTACCTAAAGCGATCGATGGCTTCTCGCCGCGTGTGCTCCGTGACATGGTGATCCCAGGCCTTCACTTAGTGGTGACCAACAAGGCTATGTCTCCATTTGTCATCACGCTGCTACTCAAGATCGTGTTCAAGGTCGACAAGCAAATGTTCTCGCACTCGGTTGCATCAATCGTGATCCTGCTGCTGGCGATCACGGAGCCTGTCCAGTGCATGCTGGTGATCCGTGTCTTAGAACTAGAGACGCTCATCCCAAAGACAGAGGACGCTACATTCGTGGCCACATTGTTCCCATGCTGTGCCGGGCACTCGATAGCACAGTGCCCAAAATTTTTAACACGATGCTCGACAAGATTGAGTGAACAATGTCAACTTCTCTCCACCGTAGCCGTCTGTGCGGATCAGTGCATTGCTCTGGCTGGCAAAGTCGTTCAACGTGTTTGACCTGGATCTGCTCATTGAAAGCGTCTTGCCTATTTATCACCTGAGTCCTCCAGCCAATAAGGCACCCGCTGCATCGTGTGCATTCTCAAGTACTTCGACAAGATCGACGTGGTGCGCAAGATGATCCAAAACATGCTCAAGGCCGTGATCAGCGGACGTGACAAGTCGTTCACATCTCAAAGCTCGGCCCACAGCGTAGCAACAGGTATCACTACAGCTTCGGGTATGTCAAGTGCTTTTCGTGCTGTAGAGGCGTCGAAGGAGCGCGAGTCAGGTTTTGCAGCAGCTGACAAGTTGGTATCCGAAGAATGTGTAGCGGAGAAGGCGCAGCCAGAGCTAACTAATGAGAAGCCCGAGCGATACTCAAACGATCCGTTTTATCTGGGCATGTCGAGCCCATCATCTAGCAGCAGTAGGACTATAAGTACTGGAGTAGAGTGGTGTGGCTCAAGTAGCCGCCGTGGACTTATGAGCCCCTTGCAAACACAACGAACGACGGCATCGATACGTTCCTTCGTCACTTGTAGGATATCCTCAAACATGTCCATTGTCATTAGAAAGCAAGCGATGCAGTAGCTACTGGTAGCACGCTTGAAAGCGTCACCCTACTCCATCTCAAAGAGCATGTCCGTACTTGGCAAGCGTCGGCTTCAACTCCGCGTTCTCAGTAAGGACCTTCGCCTCGGCTTCAGCCAGACGTTTCTGCTGAGCGACCTTCTTCTTGTAAAAGGCGTCCGACTTGACAATGCGCTTGGCTTCGAGACGCTTGACCAGCTCAGCGTGACGCCAGCCAACTTCCGAGGCGAGATTGCCCAAGACCGTGTAGCGGCGGTTCGCCTTCAGACGTAGCACACGCAGAGCAGCTGGGATGACCATACGCTTCTGCTTGTCGTACGGAGACGGGATACCGTCAAACACCTACAGCCCGATCCATCCATCAACTTCAACATCAGTACACCACAGCCAGTCAATCAGGTAGCCACGTTCAAGAGTCTCCTTACCTTCAAGCGTTGCAGAGCAGCAGCACCACGGGCCGTCTTGTGAGGCAGCATACCACGGATCGTACGCCAAAGCATACGAGACGGTGCCCGGTAGTGGACCGGACCCTTCTTCGGGTTCGTGGCCGTTCGCTTGTTCAAGAACTGCAAGAACTTGACTTTGTTGCGCACGTCTGTTGTATACGCAGAAGCAAGAGCAGATCACATGAGGAATCCGTTCTTGACTCCACCCACACTCACAAACAGACGGCATGACCACCACTGCATCTCTACACGAGCGTCCGAAGACGTCGTGTAGCTCAACAGGGAGTCTGCACGCAGCGACTTTTGCATGTTTAAGGAGGTTGCACCAACGGCATTTCGTCTATGTGACTCTCCCTCGCACTTCTTCAGCTTTCACCTTCGCATTCACTTGCTGAACAAGGTACTCAACTCAATGCTGAGGTCATTTTCTCCCTCATCCCACAGCGTTACAGCAGTAACACAAGTGAACGTCCTGACGTGGAAGTCAATGAGAAAGCAAAGCTGATCGAGTGGCGAGCTCATGGAGTCCACATCGATGGTTGACCAGTACTGAGAAGGTAAGCAACTAAACTCAATTGACAGCACTCCTTGTCACACCCAAATCGTCTCTACGGAAGCGACAGACGATGCTTCCAGCGGCACGCAGTGATGATGCCATGCGTCGATGCAGTGAATACAGTCCTAGTACTACTGAGGAAGTGCCGTGTGGACCAATACAGGAGATCGATCGATCGATCGATCAACATTCACAAAGACGTACGCGAGCCGGAGATCTCGAGCTGCTCGCAGCGCACAGCCACGACGTGCTGGCCCTGCAGAAGTTCCTTGGCGATCAGTGAGGCGAGACGGCCGACCAAGTGGCCTCGGCAGTCGACGACGATCGGTTTCTCGAACACCATATTGACTACAAGTGAGAGAGAGAGAGAGGGGCGAGTGGGAAACGAAAGAGGAAGTGCGATGGCGGTCCATCACTACTGAAGAGCTCCGGTCGCGAAGAGCTCCGCACCACCCGCTCATTCTGACCAATCGCGGACGCGAAGCGAGTTACAACAAATCAGAACGGACCAAAAGGGTGGGTTTGCGACGATGGACGCGTTGGGGAGTATACACCGTTCGGTATACACATCGATGAATTCTCTTGTCATATGTATTCCGAGAACGTTCTGAACACGGAGTTATGATTGATGACGAAGAGCTCCCGCGCCACCCGCTACGGCTCGTCCCCGTACGTATCCCATAGCGTGGCTTCTTACTACCGATTCTACTTCTGACTCCATGATTGGACTGTCATATGGGGGATCGTCTTGTATGCTTTCGCGGTAGTGGAACAGCAGTTCGATGGACGATGGTAAAGTCTTGACTGATCCCGAAGGCGTGGCGATGGCAACAGCGTTTATGAAAAAGTCACGTGAAAAGTGGGAGGCGGGGAAATCGCTTCGGTCTGCGCCAGTACTGGACGATCTCGAGCGAGTGGCACGGGAGATCAAGGAGAAGGCCAGCTTGTCAGGTGGCTCGGACAGCTTCAGCAGTTTTATTGGCTGTGACTCAGTGTCGCAGACGGCATTTCGAATACGTTCCCAGCAGTCGTGGCGCAAACAGCGCCAGTCGTTGATGGATGAAGCTGCGAAAATAGGCGGAGCAGAAGGGTTCGTGCAAGCAGAGACAGACAGCGTGGAATCGAGTCTGGCAGAAAAGTTGCTGCAGAGAGGCTACGGATTGGACTCTAGTCCGACTAAAGAGAGCGTAGGGAACTGGAGTGTACCTAGTCGCAGCTCGAATGACGATAAAAGCGACGGAATTGTGCTGCCTCAAGCGTCTCATGATGCGCTCAGGAATCGGTTGGTGGAGTTTTACACCAAGTACAATCCCGACAAGTTAACTAGTATCGATCGGACGCTTGAAACGTATCGTGGTCGTGAAGACGAGCTGTTTCGGAAACTAGCAAGTCGATATGTGGGTGGCGCTAGCTTGAGTCTGCAAGAACGCAAGAAGGGCTACATAACGAAGGACAGCGATCCCAGTGTTTACATGGACATCTCGATAGCTGGAGTTCGCGCCGGCAGAATCGTCATGCGTCTACTAAAGGACGAAACTCCGCTTGCTTCGGAGAACTTTCGCTGTTTGTGCACAGGGGAAAAGGTACGAGACGAGCATGTTGCGGTCCTTGACAGAGATTTGATGTGTATCGATGGTATAATGTAGGGTGGAATGCTTAGTTTTAAAGGCTGCAAGTTTCACCGCATCATCAAGAACTTTGTGGTCCAGGGTGGAGGTATGTGCTGCTGTCACGTGCAGAGTAATCATGTGGGGTGTGGTACTGCGTTCATAGCTCTGGTGATTGCACACAGACTTCACAACAGGTGACGGTACTGGCGGCCAAAGTATCTACCGCGGTACTTCGCACGGGGATCTTTGGGGAAACTTTAAGGATGAACGGTTCCTACCTCACGACGACGTCGGGCTGCTGTCAATGGCCAATGCAGGCAAGGACACAAACGGCTCGCAGGTACGCATTCGGCTTGCAACAGTATTTACTGGCTACTAAGCTGATCATCATCAGATGCGGTTCTTCTCACTCTGCTCTCACTTTTTCCGTTCTCTTCTTTCTGGATCCTGTCTAGTTCTTCATTACCACGAGAGCAGGTCTGAAGAATCTGGATGGCAAGCATGTGGTCTTTGGCGAGGTCATTCATGGGCTAGATGTCGTAGACGCGATGCAGAACGTGAAGGTGAGCCCGAGCAACAGCTGCCCTCTCTCCGAAAACGAAGTTGCAGTGATCGATTGCGGAGAACTCTAGTCCAGCGTCATGCACCGAACTCGTGTCGTGCGTAGTGGTACACATCCAGCAAACGAATGGACCAGCAGCTCGCTTGCGCCACACGAGATTGTGTGCTGTATCATACTATGAACCGAATGCGGCTGACGACGTTGCTACGTGCAAATAAATGCCACAAGTTCCATCATTCGAGACTCGTGGACACCCACCCCTCCAGCTCTTCGAAACCAGACGCAGTGACACAGTATTGTCCAGTCGAGTTTGCGCATTCCAGGAGTCGACTGCACTTACCGCAGCATGTCGCGTAAAAAAAGGCCATTCTCCGAGCTCAGTGTCGATGGATCGTGACACGCACTCGTCAGAAACGCGGTTTTGTCTTTTCCTCCAATCACCGCGTGGATCGCCACAAGAACCGACCGACCTATCGACCGACCGACTTACCACCTCTCGACCTCTGGTCCAGTCACTTGCAAACGCGCCCCATGCTCCGCCTCGCGACCTCCTCGAGGCCCTTGTCGCCATCAGTGCCGTCCCCGCTGCGCCCGACTCTTCTGCAATGCCGCGCACTCCTCTCCACTAGCTCCAGTGACGATACCGCTGTCTTCAAGGCCGCCAACGGGCAGCGCTTGAATCGCTACAGTGCAGTGATTACGCAATCGAAAGCACGAGGCGCGTCCCAGGCCATGCTCTATGCCACGGGCTTGACTGAAGCGGACATGGACAGGCCCCAAGTCGGTATTGCGTCCATGTGGTGGGAGGGGAATCCGTGTAATATGCACCTATTGGACCTCGCCCGTGACGTCAAGAAGGGCGTGACCGCTGCTGACCTCGTCGGTCTGTGCTTCAATACAATCGGGGTTAGTGACGGGATCAGCATGGGCACAGACGGGATGAGCTACAGTCTCCAGTCGCGGGAGCTAATTGCTGACTCAATTGAAACCGTCATGGGCGGACAGTGGTACGATGGGAACATCTGTATTCCAGGATGTGACAAAAACATGCCCGGCTGTGTCATTGCTATGGCTCGCGTGAACCGCCCGTCGCTCATGGTTTACGGGGGCACGATCCGTGCTGGCTGTAGCTCGAAAGGCGAGCCTCTTGATGTGGTCTCGGCCTTTCAAGCGTACGGAGAGTACCTGGCGGGACGAATCACGGAAGATGAACGTCATGATATTATTCGTCATGCTTGTCCGGGTGCAGG